ACTGGCTCATTTCAACTAGGTCCCACCTACTACAGTTTCTAGCACCTCCGAATCATCTATTCAAATTATCAACTATATTAATGGATTAATCCACTGATGACATTAAAGCCTTCACTACTCAATCATTTCCTAATAGCTCCACTTCTGAACATAACTGCATTGGGAACCAACTCTTCAATACATGAGCATTTGGGGGACATTCCAGATCCAAATCAAAACAGTCTCATTGCTGCTCTTGTTTCTCTCTAGAAAACCTGTTAACCACTGCCTTAAAAAACTTAGTCCATATCATGTGATTTCCTCAGTGGTTTTCAAATTTTCACAACTAACTAGGAATTCTAACTCTTGCTTAAATGTTTATTCAAGGCCTAGAGGTAATGAACTGATCCTTTATAATCTAACAGATTTGTTAAATTGTAACAACAGATTTGCAAGAGTATATGGCTCACAGGGAGTAGATATTGAGCAAATATTTTCATACTCTCAAGAAGAACATACACATCCAAAAGTGAATGAAAATACAAACGTTTAAATCGTCCTTTCCCAAAAATGCAAAAGAATCTCTGTACTTTGGATTCAGCTAAGAGTAAATGCTATTACCCTAATCTGGAAGTCCTAAAGAAAGCCACCTGGGAAAAAAATAATTAAGAAAGATCAAAAACTACCTGGGAAATTAGTGAACAAGTTTTCCTTCTGAATAGGAAAAGTGCCTTGAACAGCATAGAATTCACATGGGCAATTTTGCATCCTAAATTCCCCACAAAAAACAAGGGCACTACAGTTTAACAACTATTTCAAGTGTATGTATATGGTGAGGGGTACCACTTTCTTTGAACACGTGGCAATAACTAACATCAAAGAAATAAAATATACTTCCTAAATACATTTTTGGTATACTATGTTACAAAATATGTAGGAATCTTTTTTTAAAAAACTACAAGAGTGAATTGATGAATGAGGATTAATGCTTTTTACAAACTGTAAAAACACAAAATGTTCATTATTAAAAAGAACAGTACATCTACATTTTGAAATGTTTTAAGCAGATAGTAAATATCAAGAACAGTTGTAGATAAAAAAATGAAAATATAAGCATAAGAACAGATGCATAGAATAAGAGAGTAAATATGATAGGAATGAGAAGAATCCATGTAGTATAATACATAATAAGAATCCATGTAGTATAATACATTTTATAGGCTCCAGAAAAATCTTGCCCCAAACTAGCTTCCCTTCAGGACTTCTCTGTATCTATCAATGATAGCAAATGCACCAATCAGACCAACTTGAAAACCTAGAAATATTAAATATACTCATGTTGCCCCAGTGTCCTCAGTCTATATGTACTGTTCTTTCTTCCATGAAGTGCCTCTAGAACTGTTTTATCATTTGCTCTGGCCGACCTGCCCAGTGTCTCCTCACTTCTGCATTAGTCATGTGTTCCTTCATTCATACCTGTGCCCACTCAGACACTTATCATGTACTTACTGAAGTACTATGCTGGTTCTTAATAAAAACTAATTGTTCTAACAGGAGATGGAGATAGAGATAATGACTAATGCAATATTTCAAAAATAACACCATTTTATTAAGGCCCTAATACGTGTCAGCTATTCCTTCACACTACTATCCCACTTAAGTCCCTATAAAAGCCTCAAAACATTAGTACAATTATCTTCTTCAAAGCAAGGAAATTAAGATACAAAGACATGAAGTAATTTTCCTAAATTCACACTGATAATAAATTGCAAGGTGAGAGTCTACAGGAACCTGACTCTTTCTACTGCTTTGGTAAATACTGCATTAATTCCTCAATATCTTTCGAATCCACCTACCCAAATTCATCATCTCAAAGTACATTTGTACTTGTAATCCCTTGGCTCAAAAAATCTCTCAATATCTCCTTTTCTCTGACCTTTCAGTAAGAAAAAACAAATGAATCCTGTCCCTTTTTTCCTTACTAGCTCTAAATCTTGTAAATCACTTTACTTCTCTAACTTTGTATTCTTATCTATGAAATGAGGATAATAGATAATAAGAATGGGGTTGTACAAGGATTAAATAAAATATATGAAGGACTAACCACTTAAGTGTTCAATAAATAGAAGTCATCAATCATAACTTCTGCACCCAAAGTTGTTTTAGACAACGGACATATTGCTGCTCTTACAAAAAATCCACTTAGATTTCTGCCTCAATTTGTGTTTTTACCTCTGTTCCATTAAGAATAAGCATTCCAAAAAGTTATGGTAGTACACGCCTGTAATCCCATCTACTCAGGAGGCTGAGATAGAGGATCACAGGTTCCAGGTCAGCATCAGCAACTTAGTAAGGCCCTCAACAACTTAGTGAGACCCTGTCTCAAATTTTTTAAAAATTTTTAAAAAGAGCTTGGAGACTTAGCTCAGTGGTAAAGTACCCATGGGTTCAATTCCTGGAACCAAAAAATAAAAATGTAACTGAGTGGTAGAGTGTTCCTGGGTTCAGTCTCTAATAATTACAAAAAAAAAAAAATTAAAAGCACTCTGAATATTCACTATATGAATCAATGTCTGTCCACATTTAACATACAGGCCCAAGTTAAACTCCTCTTCCTCCAAGAAGGCTTCCTGAGCTAACCAGTGAAATTCACTCCTACATGACTATTCAGGATGTATTATAAATTAGAAAATATGCAGTATATCACCAGTGTTATTTCATTTCATTCTCACAAGAAATATAAAAGTAACAAGCACAGAATCAAACAGATGGTAACTGAAATTCAAATCCAGATATCCTTGATCCTTTTTAAAAGCCCAGTTTCTCCCCACCATATCACCTTGCATCTTGGCACATAGGGATACACATTTAATCAACAATTAACCCACACTTACAAAAGGCATACTATTGCTATATATTCTAAGTAGCTCTACCCACACAATACATATATAACTGAAGCAAGTCTGTTATGAAATAATGCTTAACTTTAGTACCAGCAATGCACTCTAAAATTTTCTAATCTCTTCTATTTCATTTAAAGTAAAATGCTAGTAAGTACCCACTAATTTTATTTCACAACCACTGATAAGTAAAAACCCAAAGTTAAAACTACAGTTTGAAATACACTGTAAAAGCTACAAGGCCACATGAGATGGAAAATTTATCCTCTAGAAATACTTAATCCAGTTGGAGATTAAACACAACTCTTTTCCCAATTCCGACCCACCCACCATACCTTGCTATAAGGGAGGCTATATTCCAGTTTCTCTCCCAAACTTTCCTATTACAGAATATAATCAATAAATTGTCTAGGCTAAAGATATTTTTTAAAAATGCTTGTTGAATGAATGAATGAACAAACAAAGGAAAGTAAGTGCTGGATTTACAGGGGGAGAAATTCCATAGCATAAACTCTCTTTCCACCTAGTTCACAATCTTCTGAGATCAGAAAGAGTCTTTTATGTGTGTGGTGTGGGGATGGAACTCAGGGTCTTGTACATGCTAGGCAAATGCTCTATCATTAAGCTATATCCCTAGCCCAAGAATAATCATTTTGTATAGTTGTATATATCAAGAACTCAATGTCTACAGATATTCCACTAAAAAAAAAAAAAAAAAAAATCTGGGGCTATGGGTATAGCTTAGCAATAGAACACCTGTCTAGCATGAACAAGGCCCTAGGTTCAATCCCCAACACTAAAAGGAAAAAAAAAAAATTTGGAACCATAGACTGGCCACAATTCATACGGAAAGGCAGATAAGCATGAATCTTTGCCAAAGAAAATCAAGAAAGAAATTTCTCACTCCTAATAGGTTTATTATTGGCCCATACTTACTATTTAAAGTGATCCCTCCAGTATCAACATTAGCTGGGAGCTCCTTAGAAATGCAGACCTACTGACTAAGAGTCCCCATTTTAACATGATCCTTAGGGGATTCCTAATACATTAAAATTTGAGAAACACCAATCTACACCATAAAAATGAAACTGACTCCTTCAACTTCAGAGAAAGTCACCATTTTATCATATATTATCTCTGTAATACTAATCAGACTTTTCAAGTTATAATAAAATCTTCAGGCACATTAGGGTATTCTGACTTCAGTGAGAAGAAATACTTGATCATCCATTTAATATTGAATAAAACTTTTAGAAAACTTACAAAAAAAATCTCTGCCTTCTTAGGACACAGACTCTACAGGCAAGAAAATGAGACAATAAACTTCAGTGGACACAGTAATAAATCTTTAATACCAGGATGAAGTTATTGAAGAAAAGATGCTGGTAACATTTAAGAACAAAACATCTTTAACAATTCTCAGTGTTATGTACACATATTTCCAAATATTCTCTATTAATTTCCCTACGTATAAAATTGTATAATAAAATGACCTAGATGACAAAAATCAAATCTCCTAAGCATCTTCACTGATTCAAACGCTAGACTTTTTAAATCATCACACAAAATATCAAACAAGGAGTCTTTTTTGTGAACTTGCAAAAACACTTGCAAAACCCTCAAGTCACAATCCTGTCATCACAAACTGAGACAAGATCTGTGACTACAGGGTCTTAAGGTGAAATACGCCCTCTTTCATTTAAAAAATATATATATATGAGGAAAGATTGCAGGCATTCTCATTGCCTCGCTGACCTACAAACACCTCTCCATCACAAGGCAAAATAACGCAGAGAGGGAAAATAATGCAGGTCCCTGGATTAATGATTTTAAATGTCCTACTCTTAATCCTAAAAGTTGGGTGCCCATCTTCTTCCCAGCAACAGGCATTTCGGTGACAGCTCAACCTCTAATTCCCCTCCCCCTTCTCCCGCGTAGAAGTTGGGACATCCGCCCGGTAGGACCTCCCCGCAGCCTTTCACCCACCCAAAGCTGTCAGACCTTTCCAAAAGAGAGACCAACAGCAGGCGAGTCCCCCAGCGCCCCTCAGGGACGCCGACTGAAACCCCGGCCCATCCTCCACACTAAACTCCATCTGGGGGAGAGGCTGGCGGGTCTCACCAAGTACAGGGGGGCATAGATCTTCAGGGACTCCTCCAGGGCGCCCCAAGTGACCTGCAGGAAGGAGACCCGGCAGGAAGGGTGCCAAGTGTGGCCGATCTCGTAGCAGTTATGAGGGATGGACTTGCTGAGGGCCGCCATGACGAGGAGAAGCGCGGAGGGGCCGGGAGGGGGACAGCTGGGGCTCGGGACCGAGCGGCGCGGGCGCCCAACCGCCGCCCTCTCGCGGGGCGGGCAGATAGAGGTGCGGAATGGAGGGTAAAGGTCACGCGAGCTGGGTTACTCTGGGCCAAAGTCCTCGGATGTTGGGCGATCGGCGTATAGCAGCTCGAGGGGGCGGGGCACGCACGGGGGAGGCGGGGAGAGGCGAAGCGTGCGCGCTCCCTGCGGCGGGCCTCCGCCAGGCCTCCGCCGGGGCGCGCTCTCGCTGCCGTGGTGTGCGCTGTCCCCGGAGCCCGGCGCTGGCCCGGGAGCCGGGGATGTGAGGGCCTTCCTCAGAGAGCGCGCGCTTCCTGTGCTGGGAACGCTGTTGATAGACTCGCCAGCCTCCCTACCCCCTCGCTGGATTGTAGCCGCGCTGGCGGGCGCACGATAGTAGGTTAATTGATTAAATCGTACTCAGTCTCTGTCCTCTCAGAGCCCGGCCAAGTTACGCAGAGGGTAGTGGAACAAAGAGATTACATGACTTTGTTGGGAGTTGGTAGAGAGATTTGCCAGAGGAACACCTGGGATAAACATCCTCTGCAAAACTGCCAGTTCCCTCCAGACAGTGCCAGGTAATAATTGCTAAGACTGCCCATTCTAAGTTCACAGGTGCATGGGAAGGCTTGAAAAATCTGTTTGCAATGTTCCTACACCTACCTGTGGGGAAAGGGCAATAGGTCATCCTCTGCAAATCCTAAACCACCAAGCAATCCTATCTACAGCATCTTTGATGGGTGCTTATCAATCAATAGTAGAGATGTGTTAGAACTCATCTGGATAGACAGCTTGAAAAACAACGGATTGACATGACAAGGGACCTGTGTGGCCTAAGCGTTACATCAGTTTCCTCATCTGTAATAACTTCCAGTTTCTTTAGAATTCTAAATTCTACAGTTTCTTAAGCAGGAACTTACTACCTTTAGAGCAGTCCCTTCTAATCTAATCTTCATTTATTCTACAAATATTTCCTAAGCCTTTACTATTTCTAAACACTATTCCAAATCCTGGAGAGACAGATGTAAACAAGATGAAACCTTTATTCTAGAGGAAGAAGTAAGACAATATGCAAGAAAACTAAACCAGATAAGATAAAATAAGTTGTTTGAAGGAAATAAAAGAGGAGAAATCAGATGAAAAGCCCCAAGTAATGGCAAAAAGATAAAAGTGTCTCTCTCAGGTAAACATAGGTGGTGCTGGGCTGAGATGGTGGCTCCACAGCCATCAGAAGTCCCAAACTCTTTCCAACAAGTTGCTCTGCCAACTGTAACTTGTGATTTCCACCCTGACTTATAAAATGACCACATCACCTGGCATGACATCTAAATGCTAGCCAGAAAGATCAGAGAAAGGGGAAAAGACAAACTTCTTTTTAAGAAAATTCTCAGTATATCCAAACATCCCTTGGCCAAAGTTTAGTAACAAAACCACCTTTGCTGGAAGAGATGCTAGGAAATTTAGTAGTTTTTATTGATGAAACAAATGCACAACTAACATTTTGGGGTTTGTTACTGAGCAAAATGGAGATATTCTGGCAACTAGCAGAGTCTGCCATAGTTCTATGGCTCCAACTACCTAAACACCTATGCACATCATTCTTCTCACCAATAAGCATACTTTCCCTTCCCATGAGAGGCAGCCTTAAGAACCATGCAGTTATCACCTCCTCTTCAAAGTCCATGATCTTCCTCAGGACCAGATGCAACAATAAACCCAATATACAATGGCAGAATATGAACAAGATAATTCATTTATTTTAAAGATTTCCAATTCAAAAATTGAGAGGATTAGAAGCATATAGCATGAACTTGTCCTAGGAATTACAGGAATAGCAATGAAGTTTTATGTTACTTAACTTTGATAATCAATTCAATAATGCATTTCTGAAAACCTGATGGTCCATAAGAAAATTATAAATAATATCCTACATTTAAATTAGAAGAAATAAAATGCACTACACATCATCTCCAAGACTCATGACAGGCATTTAAAGTAAAATGCCAAATACAAGCAATTTTGGGATGTTAAGTACTATAAAAATAGCATTTTAGGTATAGGGGTAAGGTCTCAGTAGCAAAGAGCTTGCCTGAAGCCCTGGGTTCAATTCTCAGGACTGAAAATATGAGTATAGCAAATATACACCAATAATTAAGGAAATTTTAAAATTATAATTAAAAGCAGGAGTTTTCTTTTAATAAAGTGTTAAATGGAGACTGGAAACTTAATCTGAAAAGAGCAGAATTATTGTTGTCAATGATGCCAAAGATGGCAGTGCTGATAAATTGAGTAGCAAAGAGTCAATTTCAGGAAAACTCTAAGGATCCTTTCCAGAGCAGGAAAATAGAGCAGTTTTCAGTAAACCAGTAGTTTACATCTGTGAATTTATTTTTATGATATATAATATAATACATAATATCAGGCTATTTTTCAAAAGAAAGACATCTCATCATGCCACCATTAAGTTTAAGGGTAACATTCAACATTAATCTACATAGCCCACTTATTCTTTAATACTGGCTATGACAGTGGATTCACTAGATACTATCTTGGACCTTCATTGTTTCTTCTTTAAATTAAGAAAAAAAGTCTTAAGAGTTCATCAACAAGGTGAATAAAAGGTTTTCTCCAAAGATGTACAGTGAGAGAAAGAAACAAATCTGTCAATGTGTGGTGGATTTGAAGTTTGAAGAGATGCTAAGCAAAAATTTGTTGCTCTTGTAATATTCTGGCTTTGAAGATATCATTGAAAAAGAATGAAGAGTTCTTAAGATCATAGGCAGAAGATTTCATAACACTGTATTTGTTCAGATCTACATGCAACCATTGTAGAAATTTGTACCAGTTACAAGCACAGTAAGAAACTATTACTCATACTTCAGTATAACACTTAATCCCACTAACATTCAACATATTCCCTTGTTGAAAATAGACAAACTTTTCAAAATAGCTACATATGAGACTCTTTTTGTTACAATATAACTTTACGGTTTTTTCACACCTCATCTCATTTAAAACATTCTATTCAGTTTTTAAGATGTAAATATAAATGTTTATCACATAAACATTGAAAGCTGGTGTACTGAAAGATATGCCCTTCCAATCCAAACAGGCAGTACCTCTGCTGATACAATTCTCTTTAAAATTTAGGGATTTCTTATATATCAAATTATAATACACATCATTAGAAAGCAGCCACACCCATAAATCTCTGAGACATACATTTTCTATTTTTGGTTTAGAGCCAAGAATCTTATGAAAATGCCTTTGATATACTCAGAAAGCCTCTTGTGTGACTAAAGGTTCTAGGAAGAACAGTTTTAAATTTTTCAAGTCTTAACAAAGGGTCTTAGAGCTATATCCTGGATTTAAATTTGTCCTTAAAGTAATGCATTAATTTCAGAATCTTTTACAATGTAGAGGCTGGGAATAAAAATCAGTTATTTTTTAACCCAAAGATCCTAAATTCTTGATATTTTATCCAAATTATGCTTTAAAAGTGAATGGTTTCTTTTGTATCATTTCTCTATATTTAATCATACATAATATTAAAAAAATCAGTTGGCATTTTCAATATTGTACCTGGAAATTTTCTTAACCAAATGTGCCAGTTTATTAGATATGTTTTCTTTTCCACATTTCAGCAGGCAACAATGTTAGCAAACTTTTTTCTACTACATAACAAAGATCCCTTTTTCTCTAGCCTCTGATAATAATTTCTTCACTTCAGCCTTCAAGGGTTGCACAAAATCATCTCAAATAATCTTATAAAATATTCAAGTATACTTCATAGAATTTTCCGTGTCTTTATTTGATGTTCTTGATTATTATTTTAGAGGAAAAAATTAAAATCAAAATAGGTAAGAGGAGATGTATAAAAAGAGTGCCTCAGAAGCCAGCTACATCTGTCTAAAAAGTCTGGTACTGGAGATTGAACCCAGGGGGAATTAACCACATTCTCAACTCTTCTTTGTATTTCTATTTAGAGATAGGGTCTCACTGAGTTGCTTAAGTCTCACTAAATTGCTGAGGCTGGCTTTAAACTTGAGGTCTTCCTGCCTCAGCCTCCCTCATCTGGGATTATAGGCATTTGCCACCACGCCCAGCTAAACATTTGACGAATGTAATACTCTGAGATCAGGTGCATTAAACAGATTTTCCTTATGGTTTGAATTCCCAGGCTGGTCTGTCTGAAGTGGGAAAGGGGAACTAGATCATGATACCAGATACTCAAGTTTATGAGAATTTTGGGGTTTTTTTCCTCCTTGTCACTTACTGAATTGACATTGCGATTTAGGCATTCATTATATATTTGTTTTTTGTGTCACTTAGTCTGTGAGAGATAGTCTCCCTTGATGTACTGCCAAAACTAGCCCTGACAGATTGTAGGATACGAATAGAATATTAGCCAAGAAAGGTTAGGCTGTACTGAGATACTAAATGCACCCTAAATCTCAGAGAGCTTAAGATAAGAAAGGATTATTTTTTTATTTACATTAAGTCCAAAGAAGTTTGGTCAGCTCTTCTAGGGAACTTTCCTCTAAATAGTGATTCCAGTATAAGGCCTCCATCTTTTATTGACCTTTAATGGGTCACTCTTTTTTTTTTCCTTGCTTGATCTTTTTGTGTGCGTGCATAATTCTTTAGTTGTTATGCACAGTAGCAAACACAAAATGTAAGTGTACAGACTGATTTTTTTCATTTCCTTTCATTTCCTAAAACTACTATTCAAATAGAAACAGAGACTTTTCATCAGCCCTGAAGTTTCTCTTTTGCACATCCCCAGATTATACAACCATTATTCTGTCTTCTAACCCATTGCTTCATTTTGCCTGTTTTTATAATTTATATTAATGGAAGCATAAACTGAATTTTTTGTGTATTTCTAGCTTTCTTCACACAAAATTAATGTATGTTATTGTATGCCGCTATCAGTCATTTGTTTTTATTGCTGTGTAAAATTCTATTGTATGAATCCAGCATAATTTTTACGTTTTAGGACATTTGAGTTGTTTCAAGTTTGGGGCTATTATGAATAAACCAGCAATGATCTTTAGTCTTTTGTAGGTGAAAAAATAGAAAATGTATCTATCTTGTTTCTCTTGTGCATACAT